AATGAAATATTGTGGAACTACATTTGTAGAGAATTGTCTAAGCTAGATCATATCAAAATTTGGAAGAAAATTGATCAACATTTACAGAGATACAATCAATTTTCCAGAAATATGCTAACGTCATAATATGCAAATTGAAATTTTGATTTGGGAGGCCATTATGATGACGTCATGAGTTAATTGAGGGTCAAATGAGACATGAAATCATATTTCCAATTCATACTCTATCAAAATATGGAAAAAAAATTGGGTTCACCTTGCATCCTAAAGCGCTACAATGAATTTTGTATAGGCATGTTTTTGCCCATGTATGCTATGTATTACAAGAGCTTGCACGCACGGAAATTAAAAACGGACGCTAATTCCGTTATTAATGGTCAGAAAAAGGTGAACAAGGTATCAAAATGCTTGAAAAAATGTGCCAAATATGATGACAGAGAAAAATTGGCGATTATATGTTGAAAAATACCACTACGCGCGAAAACGCGCGCGCATGCGCGTGTGCGCGTTTTTTTTGCAAAATGCTTAAAATGGCCTGAAACGTATGCAAAATGAATTTGAGACGATTTGGAGCATTTTTATTTTTTGCGCGCGCGCTAACGCGCGGACGTACGCATGCGCGCGCGTTTTTTGACCTGAAATTGACCGGACGGATATTGACCTTAATCATGATATATATTAATAAGAAATGCTTTTCCGTTAAAAAGATATGATCATGAGTTGAAAGTACCAAAAAAAACACAAAATGGCGCTTGGATGACGTCATGAAGACTTGATGACCTTGAAAATGTTTCTGTCACGTCTCATGGCAATGACCTATAACTGTGCCAAAATTGAACGAAATTGATCGAACCGATCTTGAGTTATCATCGGAACAAAAAAGAGGGAGAAATAAATAAAAATAAATAATAATAAAGAAGAAAGAAAATTCTGACGAAATCAATAGGTGGTCTGTTGATAACAGACCACCTAATTAGACTGTTTCTTCATCAGGTTGATCTTTGGACTATTAAACTTCACCGCCCCCCCCCCCCCCCCCACATCCAAAAAATATGAAATACCGGTACAATTAAGTTCCCAAGATATTATCATTTTAAAAAATATTCAGGCCTATCCCCTGATAATACCAGTAGCTACCCCCCCCCCCCCCCCCCCCCTTTAACATGGGCTTGTAAAAAAATATATACATGTTTGTACTGTATAATGCATTATTACATATTAATACAAATCTTTTATTTAAACATACTTTCTGCATTTGTAGAGGATACTTCTTTTTAAATGAAAAAAAAAATTATTCTGCTTTATAAATACCACCTACAGTAGGCCTACATGTACATTAGGTGTGAAAATAGCCTGTTTGTGCATTTTAGTACAGTATAGGTAAAGATGTCCATTCTGGTACCAGTGGTCCTTAATCTTTGTTTGAAACCCTCTACATGTATAACATTGACAATGGGCACAGAGACTCTCAGTCTAAGGGTCTTGAACCCTAATTACCATCACAATGGTTCTAAAAGATTTCCGAGCTTGGTACAGCTGCAAATAGCCTCTATTCTAGGCCAAGAACAATGGAGAACAGGGCTTGGTCCTGCACTTGGTTTACAGCTGTTGGACCCTTTGTTTGGGGTATCATTGATTTTGATGACCAATATAATGATGCTAGTTTAAATACAAGAGTGCACTATGTTTAGGCCATTAATAACTTAATAGTTTAATATAAAAAAGTTTGAATTCAATACCCACACAAACATCAAGACAAATATGACAACCATCCTGATACTCCTTGCAAATATGTTTGATTTACTATTAAACCTGATATTTAAAGCCTACAGGTACCTGCACTAGTTTGGCCAGGAGGGATTAGACCTCCCTGCATGGTCACTGACAGGTGGTTATCTCATCAAGTCAGCTCTCAATTATAACATAACAGTGAGATGTTTGAAACCAAATTTATACTTAAATAAGTGCCTCGATACAAATTATTTCATGGCACCCCCCCCCCCCCCCCCCCCCCCCATGCTGGAAATTAAATATTGGCACTGTTGAAAAGCAAACAGATTTATTACCGATTTTGGTGAACACTATACAAAATGAGAAATTATCTTGTTTATTCATATCATTGTAGATCTACAAAAATATACTAGTGAAAACACCTGCTATTCCACTCCGGCTTATTCAGATTTCTATAGTATCCATGGTAACCAGGAAAAACATTGCCTCCCCACAATTGCTTTTTAAAAATGGCTCGTCGATACCTACAATGTCCATGGGCATACTGTATACGCTACACGTAGACCCTGAAAATCTATCACTTTTTTGTGTGTTAAAAAATGCTCATAAAGCTTTAATACTAAATCTATCAAAAGCACTGCACACACTTCATGCACATGTTCATGATCTTCCTGCTAGCGTATTTGTTGAAGGTTTTTTTTTTTTTTACCTGGCTCTTGAAATCTCAGAAATGCAGTCAATTGTGCAGTCAGGTTCCAGATCTATCTTCAATCTTCTTTCTACCTCTAACAGTAACAGCTTTTAAATCAGGGCTTTCAACCCTCCTGCATTTGGAGGGAGTCTCACGCCACTGCGCTCATTTTCCCGCCGTCCAACCAGCTCATAGCGGGAGACTTCTGCAACCACGCCTTCCCGCAAACGATGCAGAATCTCCCGGTTAATGAAAAAATCTCGCGCCAAATGTGACAAATGAGAATCTCCCGCACCAAAATACAAATGACCTATCAAACGTGCTTCTTTCCATTGTGGTTCGTTTGATTGGTTAACAAGGACATGCCATTTTTTGGAGGGCTTGAGTGGGGGGGGGGGTGTGTCAATGAATAATGATTTCAAACTTCAAAGTTACAAAATGTATATACTGCTTTATCTTTAATCTTTTTTTCAAACTACAAACAAAGTTTGAAATTCAAAGTTTAAAAAACATCAAAATCATTTCCATGAATACACTGAATTTAGCTGCGCTCTCCAACAAAAGAAAAGTTCAATTTTTAACCTAAATTCCAATGAAAATAAATTGCAATGGTAACAACAAAACCAAATTGAATTATGATGAACCTTACCATTTTCACAAATAATATTCTTTGCATATTTTCCAAGAAAAGATTGCAAAACATTGGTTTGGAAACCATGAAGTAAATATCACATTTTTTTGTGTCATCTTGACACAAACATAGCAGGGGCTTATCCCTGGCATATATTCATTTTCACCATAGGCTGTTATTAAATGTATAAATGCATACTTGTAACAAAGTAAATATATGAATATATATGCAGTCAAATATTTCAACATTATACCCTCCACCTACATGTATATCTTGCCATTATGTTGTTTATATGCATGCCATATACTACAATGCTACTATGTTGCAGTCCTCTTCTTTTCCTTTCTTTTTTTCTCTTTCTCCAAGCTCTCTATCCTCCTCTCCTCGTTGCCTATTCCCTTTCTTCCTTTCTTCCATTTATATGTATAATTGTATTTATGTATTCGGGCGTACCCATTACAAGTTCTGCTTATTGGGTTTTGCGCCTTCTTCCTTGTAATACTTGTAAGTTCTTTAAGTGTTCCTACGTATAAATTGTATTGTTTGAACAGATGTCAAATATGTTGTCAAATTGAATGGAAGAAAATTAATGTTCATTTGAATTGAGAAAAAAAAAGTTAAACTCGTGATGGGAAAGTCGCTGCTATTTTTAGTGCTTACATCATGAATACATGTATGGCATCGATCGACACGTGGGGAAATTCCACTCAGTATCGTTCTTCAATTTTTTTTTGCGCGATGATCAGAACCGGAGCTACGAGCAATCGAAGATTGACTAAATATTCAAAGCGTCGGATTTCAACGAAGGAACTTAAGTATGGTTTCAAATTTGATATCTCTCGATAGAATATTTGTTTATTTACCTGCATATGAAATATCTACATGTAGGTGATTTGATTACCGAAACGATGTTTTTTAGCTCCAAAACTTTATATACATATTGACTTGTGTGGCTAAGGGGGGGGGGGGGGGGGGGGGGGGGGGGGGGGGGGGGGGGGACCAAATTTTTTTTTTTTTTTTTTTAACATTACACTATCGTTATTTAGCTTTTTGTTAATCTAGGGTGATGATCTTGGTATTATTTTTGATACATGTATTTTTCATCCTCTTTCAAATGGTACTTTTTTTAAAGGCGATTCAATCAATTCTATTTTTTTTGTTCACGTCCCTACGATATATCATACTCAAGTCTATACAGCCGGAACTTTTTTTCTTCAGGAAATAGACCTCTCTTCAAATTTTATTTGGGGGATAAGGAGTGTGGCAAGGTGACAGTCACTCTTCGTCTCTTGGCTGCTTTTTTGTCACAATTTCACATAGATCTATGTCTACGGCCATAGACTTTTTTTCTAGGCCTTTTTATTTTGGTGACAGTCAAAACATTTCGCCCTCACAGTTTAGCAAGTCGCTACCAAGGACTAGTAGTAGATCTAGTAGAAGAGATCAAGTCGAAGAAAGCAAAAGTTTAAAGTAAAAAATGGGGCGTGACCATTATAAATATAATTGACCCCCCCCCCCCCCCCCCAACCTAATTCTACTCTCTCTCTCCCCCCCCCCCCCCCCCCCCTTCCCTCTCCATTTTGGCAGAGGGGGCGGCCCGTGTCGACAACACTGAAATACAGAAAAATGTTAACCGTTACAATTTGACACAGCACAGCACACCATGCACCACGCCACGGTCAGCTCAGGGAGGCGTTCGTACACTACTCCAAGCCGAGCTAAAGCCCCGGGAAATGAATGCTCAAAACCGGTGATTTACTCGCACAACACACACTCCCCCGACAACTGCACTGGGCTCACCAACTCACTTGCTCAACGATACACATTTGAAGGTTCCAATCTGGTCTAAATTACCACAAAACGGTAGATTACTTAATTCCTTAACATAAAGCATGGAAATATATCACTCCTGACGTTCTAAATATGATAAAATAGCGTCATATTTACCTCCATGTCAGCATGAAATTGTTCCATTTTAGTCTCCTTAGATACGAAACGCTACTGACGAGATCGCCATTTTCAGGAAATGTTTATAGACACGTCCATTTTTGAAAGGGGGGCGGGCTGCTTAATTGATTTGAGAACAATATTTGAAAAAGGGATTAACAAAAGTATTTAATCATTTATCCATTTAATTTCCTTTTAAATAGGAAATAATATCGCGAATTTCTTTTCATAAGAATCGAAAATTTCATGGAAGGTTTCCCCAATTAAATTACTTTGTATCATTTCTAGAACTAAACACTATTTTGTCCCTCTAAACACAATAAGTTTTAAAATCCCTTACTAACTTTGTAGTCGACTGAATGACATATGTTTTCTCTACTTCGCCATGAGATGGCTCTCTTACTTTTTAATGTCTCTCACTCAACGAACTATCGGATCAGAAAAAAGGAGAACTTTTACATTTTGTAAGAATTCTTAAAAAATTAATTTGTTGTAAATTAAAAATCTTTGGACATTCCCTGTCCTTCTTTGTCTGGTTTTATTTTTATTTAATTTTTTATTTAGTTATTTTTTCATTCATGTTTTCCTCTTTATTTTTTGAAGGGGGTGGAAAGGGTGAGGGGGATTATTTATGGTGGATTCTTTTGAGAGCGCAAGGCACCCGAGTGGGGCGAGGGGCTGGGATGCCCTTAAGCCATGCACCCCCCCCCCCCCCGACAAACTAGTATCTATGCCCATTTTCAGACCCTCAACAAGGATCCACCACTATTAATGTTTGAGAGTCCACCTAAAAAATCCTATGCATGCATGTTTTTAAGATATAATATTTGCCAATAAATGTACTCATATTAGTGTATTATTATAGGCGTGTGACCCAGACGATGGGGCGGCGCAGGGGTCTGACCCAAAGCATGCTAACAAAATTACTTTAATAATATTAAAAAATGTTTCCCTCATAATAAGTCTGGCCATGAGTGGTCTATATACCTCTCTTTTTGTTATTGTTTTATACAAATATACCAGAAGCCTAATAAAAACTATTTTGTTTACCCAGAGAGGTAATCAGCAAAAGTCTTATTCGGGAATTAAAGAGACATCATCCCTCTGGAGAAGTGTTTGCTCCTGTAAAAGTATGACGCATCAATTCTTTGTTTTAGTGCTTTTCAAGATCATTAAGTTTCGAGTTTCAAGTTCAAGCCTATTTGTCTTTCTTCCAACATGAATTTAATACAATTTAACCAATTTATAACATGTGGAGTATATAAAAGGAACGTTTATAAGGAACAAGTTCATATAATGCGTTTAAGTGAAGAAATAATGAAAGACGAGAAGACCTTAAGAAAATCTTAACTTGTAGAGGTCACTTTTTTTCTTTCTTTTTGGCACTCGAAATTTTTTTTCCCAGGGAAAGGGGCCCCCTGGATCCGCCACTGGTCTATCAGAACACCGTTAAATCATATACCAAAATCAAAAGATCAGTATAGGCCTAAGATTTTGACGATGATTTTCACCGTGTCTTAGAGATTGTAGGAATAGCGCCATCTACAGTTTGCACTTATTGCTTATATTTGTCAAACGGAATGAATGCTTTGCCATAATGATCACCCCCAAAACAACTTTCTCGGCAGGTATAATGAGTGCAATAAAAGACGACGAGGGAAGCTGAATCAAAGACAAAAATAAGAGCAAACGAGTACTTGACAGAAGGGGGAGAAAATGACTAAAAGAGCAACTCTCCCAGTTATCACCCCTTTTTCTACTCCCCCCCCCCTTTTCACCATTGACATTCGACATTTTTTAGGGAGGGGGGAAGTGGCGGATCCAGGGGGGGGGGGGGACCCGGAAGGCTCGGCCCCTCCCTGGAAAAACACGTTAATTTTACCTTTTTTTGGAGATGGCCCCCCTCCCTCCCCCTGGCGCTCAAGAGGGGGGGGGGGATGCAATTTTTAAAATTTTAGAAGACCCCCCCAAAATTGATGAATATTTTCCATTACAATCCGAAGGCAAAAGAGAAGTCTTAATGTCAGAAGTTTTTTGGGGTCTCGGGACACCCACGCCCATCATAATTTATAGAGCCTATGCAGTATGCATTTTACACACATCGACTGACAAGGATTTGTATTGGGCCCAGGCGCGTACGCAAGGGGGGGGGGGGGCAGTTCCCCCCTCAATTTTTGTGTATGTGTGTGGAAAACCCTCACCTCAATTTTTGTTGTGTGTGTGTGTTTGTGCTAAAGGGTGACATAAAAAAGTGACCTTACCCCCCTAAAAAATAATGTGTTTTTAATTCTTTTTCCCCAGGGGAGGGGGCCCCTGGATCCACCACTGATGTAAACTACCTCCCCCCCCCCCCCCCCGTATGACAGTATTTAAAGAGCTCTCGAATGCAAAGCCTTTCAAGGGCCTTTCAAGAAGAAAATACAAAGCACAGGATTTGGTCTGTCTATGACACCCCCTTGAAGCCTCTTCCATTATGCTGCCCTTCGTTTTCATGATTAAACACCTCGCTTGCTTTCTTTGCCTCTCAGCACGGTCGCGCCATTGCCATACCTCAAATTTTGCACAAAACAATAGGCACTATTATTATTTTGATGGAGGGATTACTTTGTGCAACACAATGGTTTTGCAAAATTATACATTTCCAGTCTTCATTATAGCTCTATGGCAGCCCTTTAACACGGGTATACAATTTGAAAACAGTGACGGTAAATAATATAGAAGCATTTGTTCATCTACCATGCATATTCCTGGAATGGTAAATACAATGTGGCATAGTTTATTTATATAGCATTATAAAGAGTAAATAAAGCTTCTCTTCTCTTCATTTATATACATATTTCCCCCCCCCCCTTTTTTTGGGGGGGGGGGGGGTTGGTGTGATCACTATACAAACAAGGTCAATGTGAGTGATGATACTAAAAGCCTGTCTGAAACAGGTGTTACTTCCCAGACTTGAAGAAGATAACAAACTTTTTTTGGAAGAGCAAGAAATGTCACCCCAAAATGTAATGTCTTCACCATGTTCACATTGTGCAAAAATGATTATAAATGTGTATGTATAGTAATAGATTTGTATCTCTCCTTAGCGCCGTATCTAACAACGAAAAGCAAGAAATAAACAAACATACGCATAATAAAAACAAAACATCAACCTTCTCTTGCTTTCCATAAAACAAAATGTTTTATTGGCTTTAATAATTACGTGTTTAAGATAATAAAATCTTATAATGAATCATGAACAACTTTTCTTTTGCTTTCCAGAGATTATTTAGATTCACTGTGTAAATTTAAAAAAAAAGGAAAAGAGACCCCATTAACAAAACAAAAAGACAAAAACAAAAATCAAATTAGAGTCTGTAGGCTTAGACTATCTAGAGCGCTGTTCATCTTGCGTGAAAGAAACGGTAAACCAGTGCAATGGTGTGTTTACACATTGCTTGAGGGAACCGCTAATTACAGCATGAAAACTAACACTTTGAGCGCATTATTAGCTCTTCAACCTTTTAGTATACCAAGCTCGATTTATAGGGCTTCAAAAGCATTCATTTCACCCCCCCCTTTCTCTCTCTCTCTCTCTCTCTCTCTCTTCCACTCTGTATCTCTCTCTCCCTCTCTCCATTCTTCTCTCTTTCTTTTTCTCTCTTTCTCTCTCTCTCTCTCTCTCAGATTTTTTTTCTCTCTCTCCCTCTCTCTGCTTTTTTTCTTCTTTCTCTCTCTCTCTCTCTCTCTCTACCTCCTCTCTGCCCTATCTCTTTCCTTCTCTTTCTCTTTCTCTCTCTCCCTCTACTCCCCCACTCTCTCTCTTTCTCTCTCTCAGTCTCTCTCCCTTCTTTTGCACCGAGTTAAACCACAGGCACAGGTGCATAATAAGAATTAAATACCATACTAATATCATTAGACGATTGAAGACATGATTTGAGAGTACCATGCACAATTTCAAATCATTATTTGCCCGCGGTCCAGCTTTTGAAACAAAAATATACGCCACCATACACTTGTGATCATGTAAATTGATAAACTTTGCGTCGCCGCCCCGGCCCCCCTCCCATTTCTGGTTATTTCCTCGACGAGGATAAATGACAAAAGAAGAGGAAGGGGGTAGAGCTCAATTCTTGTGTACCACTCCACTTATTGGTGAGCATTTTCATTCATCCCCCCCCCCCCCCCCCCACCAACCCTCACCCTCCGATCCCCATTCCTAATAAATACCAGTACCCCTATTCCAAGTTATTATCCTCTAATCACAAACTTCAAGAGAAAAGAAACCCCCCTTTTTAAGGAAAAAAAACGTAACCCGGATCCTGTGGTTGAGCTTTGCCCCGGAGAGTTCAAGTAGGATCAAAGTAACATTTTTTCGCCGGTCCATCGTCATAGAAACGTGAAGCCGATCGCTAATGACGTCATAATTTGTTCTACCCTCTTGTGAATGCGTCCCGCGCGCGACGTCGTGGGAACAGGTGTATTATTACTAAAGAGATACCAATAGTACAAATGGCTTGATGATACGTGTAGCGAAAAACTTCGATCAATAATTTATTGATCCGAGGTAAGCTAGTTCCAGGATCTTGATTTGGGTCTGTGTGTTTCTTTTTATTGATCTCACACCCCTTTCATTCGTTGTCTTCGTTTGATAGGCAGACTTTGGACAAGCAACGCATGGCGGAGTAGTAGGGGTTGACTAATTCGGAACACTGGTGTGACGTTTTGGAAGAAGGGGAATTCGTTTACGCTTAGTTTCCTCAACGCGTTCAACACAAGCTGTAACATTTCAGACAGGTTACCGCCTATAGGATCAGATTATAAATGGATTAATCAAATATTATTATTCTTCATCCAAAACAACAGGAATACCGTTGGAGATAACAGCTCAAGAAAGTGTTCGATTTGAATTCGACAAGAAGTTTAGGGGGAGTCGAGAGAGAAACCGAGAGGTAAGCATTTTCAATGTAAATCTATATTACAAGTTGTAATGAGTGTTCTGTAACTCCATGCCATGTCCCGCTGGCCTGGCAGAGATACGGCTGGGTGCAGGGGCAGGGATCGCTTGGAACGAGATGTTTCCAAGCGACACATGCACAGAAAAAGAAATGGAGGGAAGATATTAGA